TGTTGGGAAGCAATAGCTGTGGGACATTTGAAGTTTTTTATGGCATGGATAAGAAAGATGATGCAATGGGATGGATACAAAAAGTATTAATAATTTCAAAAAGTCAAGTTGATGAAAGAGATTGTGATGAGTGTAGTGATGTGATACTTGATAATTTAGGCTTGATTCACGAGAGGGATGGTAATAAACAACATGCATATCATTATTTAGTCAAGCAAACTGAATATGCTGAGAAAGCTAAAGATTTTATTGGACTAGAGAAATACAATGAAAATTTACATAGATCATCATCATCATCTGAGGATACGAAATTACAACAACAATTATGATGATGATATTTATCAATTAATCATTTTGTTTTTTCATTTGTTTTTCTTGTTCTTCTTGTAATGATTTAGCAAAAATATTATTGAGAAATAAAGGCTTTACACTATTTGATTTTGATATAATAGTTTATTAGTAGTACTAAATATAACAGGGCTAATATATTAGCATGTTAATGAATGAATAACAAACCTTTTATAATTTTTTGATTTGAGTTCCTGTAATTTTTTTGTACATGGTGAGAATAAATTATCGGTTGGAGAAACAATTCTTTATTATTATTGTTGTTTGTTTGTTTGTTTGTTTACATGATTGCGAAAAGCAAAAAATTACTAAATTTATTGGTAAAAGTTAAACCAATCAACCAACCCAGTCAACCAACTTACTTCATTGGTTTTTTATTAACTTTGTTATTAAGAATTGGAGGTGGTGGGGTACTTTGAAGATTTGTTGCATCTTGCATTTCAACATCATTTGAGTACCAAGAAACTTCTTCAGTGTATTGAAAAATATCATTTGGATAATTAGTAGTTGTAACGGTGGTATTACTAGTAGTTTCCATATTTGTATTCATATTGTTGTTATTATTATTGGTGGAGCTTGACAATAATTGTGTATTAAATAATTTTTGGGTGCTCATTTCAAAGTTAATAACAACGCCAATAAAAAAAAATCATGTAAAAAAATCACGTTACGTCATCGTTTTTATAAATGGGATCACGTGGTCACAATAATAAACTATAATCACAAAGATTGATCAATGAATGAATCTATTCTTATTTAATTATATATTGGTAATGATGATGGAAATTGTAAAATGAATCTAATATAGAAAATAAAAACAGTAAAGAAAGGAAATATTGGTATGAAATCTATGATGTGCTTAATTAGTTTATTTTAATAAAAAATATTACTTTTTAGAATTAATATTAATTCTCCTATTTGGAAAACGTGTGCATTTTTAATTTTTAATTTTTCTCTTTTAAATCAAGCTAGTAGAATATCATTGCATTGCAGAACAACTACTTTCAATTTATCGTCAGTCGAAAAAAGGGTAACACATACTATATACTTTTAAATGTTTTTAACAATCTAATTATTATTTTTTTATCAGAGCAAATAAGAAAACTTTAATAAAATAATAATATCTTTGAAATAAAGGCTAAAAAAAATCAGATAATTTAAGGTTGAAAAACGCCAGAAGGTATATAGCAGAGTGGAAAGATATGGATGTCTTGAGTTCCAACACAATAATTGTATCAAAAATTCTTATTAAAACCATCACTGAAAACCTGCAAGAATAAATTTTTGTTATTGAATTAAATAAATTCGTTTTTGATTTTAATAAAAATAATTCTATTCTTAAATCAATTAATTGACTTGCAACATTTCCACCTCGAAAGCTTTGTAATAATAGGTTATTTTCACATGAATAGATGTTTATATAAAATTTATATTATTCATAAACTTGACAGTTTCACATTTATGTTGTTCTTTAAATGAGACATGATATCCATCAGCAGGATCAATTCTATCATGTAAAGAAGCACTTATAACAAACATCTTGAATTGATTTTCATTAATAATAATAAAATTGAAGCCATAATTTTTCTCAAAAAAATTTGTATCATTTAATTTAGTTGCTCCTTATTACCTGGATATTTTTATCTAGATATTTTATTATAGGCAGGATTTACTGAAGATGTCATGTCTTCTGCTGATGTCATGAATTGTTCAATTGAACTTGCAGATACTGGCCTGTTTATATCTACAAAACAATTCATTCATGCTTCATTCATTATATGTTGGGTATAAAGTTCGGAGCTTTAGGCTAGAAACTATTTGGTATTCTAATTTTTGCACTCTGCTTATTTAGAATCAGATTTATTAATTTCTAGCCTGATAAACTTACTATAGCAACCAGTGTCCCGGTTGAACAAGTTTTTTCTGGAGGCATAGACTTATTTACTCAAAAAAGTTGTAGTTTAGAACCTGAAACAATAGGAGTTTGCATGTGTTTAAAAGGTTGGCGGGAGACGACGAACTTTATATATGAATTGAGAATAGAACGTCGTTAGAGTTCCTATTCGAATAAAGTTTATTCGTTATGAATTTGGGTATTCGAATTACATTGAAACAAATGTTTAAAATAATTTCAGACCAGCTGTATTTAACGTGACATTATGTATGAAATGGATAAGATTCAATCATAGTCTCCATTCTAATTTTGGTAAGAAATGGATCTTCGCTACCATGGTAGACTTCTTTCTCTACTTCGCAACACACATTCGCCAAAACCAAGCTACAAGTTATTTGTGAAGTTATTATGTATACTTTTGCGTAGCTAACGACTTTAAGATGTCTCAACCGAACCGTTCGGAGCTTTCTTGCCACCGATAGGACTATAACGAAGACATATCCAATGTTAAAATCATTTTAGGTTATGAAGAACTTTCATCTATAGGTTTTTGTTCGCAATAATGCCAATAGCTGCGCCATAGTTTGAAATTTTGGGAAAAGATTTATACGTAATCGAAAAAACGCATCTTGTCAAATTTTTACCGTCCAAAAAAATTATCACCAGAATAAACATTCATTAATTTATTTTATAAAAAAAATCACACAATCTTTCAATCATTATTCTGTTTAAAATATTTCTTTTTCACCGAGAAAAATCACACTAGTTTGTCGTCTTCAAATGGATAACCACCACCATTAAAAAAACAAAACTAAGCAGACAAAAGCATAATTGGACTTCAAAAATGATAAAAATGGCAAGTAGAACTAGTAAAAAAGTTTGTTCAGTCTGGAAATCAAATAAATTATATTAAACTAGTACAAATTTAGAAACCATCTGCCGAAAAAATACTAGAGTGTAACGTGACACTTTCACATTCCCCGCACTCAACCTTGGACTTTTCAAATAATAATAATAATAATGGTAATTATTTCTGTTACTAATTATCAAATCTAATTGATTGACAATTTGAATAAAAAATAAAATAAATGGATAAATTATTTAATTAGCAAAAAAATTTAAAGCCTACTCGTTCCAACTTGTTCACTTTCCTTACTCACCTGCCTATCTTCACTAACTCCTCTCTCTCCAACTTTTACTTATTAGTTTCGTAATCAGTATGATAATGATATTTCCACATGGAGTCCTCAAGGTCGTATACATCAAATAGAATATGCTTTAGAAGCTGTAAAACAAGGATCTGCTGCTGTTGGTCTAAGATCTAAAACTCACGCTGTCCTATTAGTATTAAAGGTATTGAGATGATGATTCGATTGATTGTTAATGAATTGGAACTATTATTGGATGATTCACCACTATTCCCTCTCTTTTTTTTTTTTTGATTTGAAAGAGATCTACTGGTGAATTGGCATCTTATCAAAAAAAAATCATCAGAGTTGATGATCATTTGGGTATAGCAATAGCTGGTCTAACTTCAGATGCAAGAGTTTTAAGGTTTCTTTCTTATCAATACTAAAATTTTTTACCAATTACCACTATCGATTATAATCTCTATTTTATAATTAAATTGGATTTTATTTATTTATTGACATACCTCATCATCTTTTATAGTAATTTTATGCGTACTGAAGCAATGAAATCTAAAATGATTTATAATCGTCCTTTACCAATTTATCGTATTGTCTCTGCAATTGGTGATAGTAAGTATTCTATACATGCGTGTATGTTGTTGTGTATATGTGAAAGGGAAAGTTAATTCAAATTTAAATTTTTTATTTATTAATTTATTTTTCTATTAATTTAGAGGCTCAAATAAATACTCAAAATTATGGTAAAAGACCATATGGTGTTGGTCTATTGGTTGTTGGACATGATGTAAATATTAATATGATGACTATGATAATATTATCGATTGATTTATAAATTATTATTTTAATTTTCATTTAACAAATTCAATACATCATTTATTCATTCATTTACTTATTTATTAGGAAACTGGTCCACACTTATATGAATGTGCACCTTCTGGTAATTTCTTTGAATATTACGCAATGTCAATTGGTGCAAGGTCACAATCTGCAAAAACATATCTTGAAAAAAATTATGAATGTTTTAATGATGGTAACTTACTATTACATTATTACTACTTACTACAAACAATAGTTATTTAACATTCTTTTTTTTTCCTTTCTCCTTTCCTCCTCAAAGCCTCATTGGATGAACTTGTTAAACATGGTCTGCATGCACTTCGTGATACACTACAATCAGATAAAGAGCTTACAACACTAAATTGTTCAGTTGGAATAGTTGGTGTTGATCGAAAATTTGAAATTATAGAGGGTGACAATTTACAAAGATATTTGGATTTGTTGGATACTGCTACTACCAGTAATACAGGTGGTGATGATGATGGCGATGATCATGGCAATGGTGAATCATCTTCTGCTCAAGATCAAGAAACTACTGTGTCAATGGATACAGAATGAATAAAATAATAATAAAATATAGTTTTTGATATTTATATTTATTTATATATGGTTTGTGTGCGTGTGTATGATATATATTTATTATAATTGGTTTTTTTTTTTTCTTTTTTTGAGAATCTCTCTTTAGATATCAATATCTATATTGCAAAAACAACAACAACAACAACAATAACCACCATATAATTATCGCAATAGTCACCTACACTTATTTATCATGACTCTTCCCTCCAATATTCACCAACAATATCTTTCCATTTTTTCTTATTATTATCATCATCATTATCGCTACCATTCAACTCTTTAATGACTCCATCTTTTATCTCTCTAACTTTACCAGCTCCATCATATGTTAAACTTGTATACAATTGAACCATTGTTGCTCCTGCTCTTGCATACTCCAATGCATCCTGTGCATTACTTATACCACCACAACCAATCAATACTATTTTCCCATTGGTGTATTGATATATTTTTTTTAATGCTCTCAGTGATAATTGTTTAACAGGTGGTCCTGATAATCCCCCCATTTCTGAAATTAACTTTTTATCTAAAAGAAAATAAATGAAAAATAATATTACATTTATAATATATTTCTTTAATAAAGATTTTTTTTAATAATTAATTGCTAACCACTTTTTAATGACGCTGGTCTTGATGTAGTTGTATTGGATATAATAATACCATCAACGCCATTATTCATTGCCGCATCTGCTATATCTTCTAATTCTTCTTCTGTTAAATCCGGCGAAATTTTTACTAAAAGTGGTGGCAGTGATGATGGTGATGACGATGATTTATTTGACAAATGTAATTCATTACGAGCTTTCATCACCTATTATTGTTATTCCAAAAATCATAATAATAATAATGACAATAATAAATAATAAATTTATTATTCAAAAATCAAACTAAAAATCACAAAAAAAGAAAAAAGACATAAACCTCTTTCAATAAATTGTCAATTAAACCTTTCTTTTGTAATCCTCTTAATCCAGGTGTATTAGGACTACTAACATTAACAACCAAAATATCTGCATATTCTCCAAATCTTTTTATTCCCTTCACATAATCATCAACTGACTCAACATCACTCCATTTATTCTTTCCTAAATTAATTCCTAATAGTTTAAAATGTTTTAAGCTTTTATTATTACAAAATGAAGACGAAGATGAAGACAACAATGATGCTTCTTCTTCTTCTTCTTCTTCATTTTCTTTTCTCTTGTTTACATCTTCAGCTTGATACAAATAACCTCTTTTTCCATTACTTTTTCTTCTTATTCGATCACGTAGTCTTGACTCAACTATATAATGTCCATCAGAATTGAATCCGTATCGATTGATTATTGATTTATCTTTTGATAATCGAAATACTCTTGGTTTTGGATTTCCTGGCTTTTCCATTATTATTAAGAATTAATAATTATATATACTTTTCATTATTTGATTACAATTATTATACTTATCACAGATTTAAAATCAAGTCAATTTGTTTTTTTTTTCATACTTGGGGTTCGGGAGTTACACTACCAATTTCCACATAACCAAATCCAAGATCAAACAATCCATCAATCGCTTCTCCATTTTTATCAAACCCTGCTGCCAATCCAATTGGATTTGATATTTTTTTACCCCAGACCTTTTATTTATTATTTATTTATTAGTTTCATATAATCAAAACCAAACTAAAAATCATCATCACCAAATATATTATTATTATTAAAATGAAAATTATATCATCACTTACTTCAATACCAAGACACTCATCATCCGCCAATCTATCTTTAGGCGTCAATTCATGTTTAGCCGCCCATATTGCAAATTTATGACTTGTTTCAGGTGTTGTGAAAAGTCTCAACGCTGTTGTCGACAAATATTTGTGTATTACTGCCCTAGAATCAGAATAATAATACTTTAAAAACAATGTTAAACCAACAAGTCCACTTGTTCCTATGACTAAATTTCGTAATAATAATGATGATTTTGGTGGTGAATTAGGTCGATGAGGTGGCGGTGGTATTGGTATTTGTAATGCTTTTTTTGTTTTTATTGCTGTGAAAAAACTTCTATTACGAGCATACATGATGGTTGGAAAATAATTTCGATGATCGATAAATCACGGTTCCCAATTAAAATTCGAAATCCTAAAATTAAAAAAAAAAAAATTTATTGCTTTTAAATTATGTCAAGCAATTTTATAATTCTCAAAGTCTTTATTTTGCCAATTCCTAAAGTCCCAGAAAGACCTCTCGACATTATTTTAATAAAGGTACAAAAATATATCCTGCCATGTATTATTCCACCCACCTGTGTACATTGTAATGATAATGGAACTAAAAGAAGTTCGCAGTTGATGCAGGAACATTTAGCGAATAGTACTATTGAAATAAAAAATTTTTATCTTGAAATTATTTTACAAAATGATGATTTTTGGACAAAACAATTCTTTGACAACTCCTAATTTTTCGAATGTTCTTGGATCAAGAACAATAAATAATAATCAAAAGGAATTGATCCAACAAACATTACACCTCAAGAACCAAAGATAATTGATCAAGTGTTGACGACAACAATGTTTGTTTGTTGTGGATTACACTTTTCTTTTGTAGAAACCCCATTCTTCGTCGAGTTTGTTAATCAATTAAAGCCTGCATATAAACCACCTTCTAAATTTAAAATTATCCAAAAATTTTGTAACGATGAAATAGCAAATATCAACGTAAAAGTTGATATTGAATTACTATTAGAATTTCAAATTAGATTTTGATTGAATTTCGATTTTTGAAAACCGAGAGTTTCGAATTCTATCAATACTAAATGACTTTCGCCATCGTGTATAATTACGAATAATGAAAATAATGGACGGCGACGATGGTGATAACAATAAACGCGAATTTCTTCAGGTCTTTTTTTACAAAATTGTAGATAAAGAAAGATTATTTTGAATCAAAATAATGTAATTGATAAATTGGCAAACCAAGAGAATGTAACAGGTGTAATTAGCAAGATTCCACAATTAGATATTGTACTTGGACACTCTGGAAATAACGTTGAACAAAACAAAACGAAAAAATCTTATTATGATCAAAAACGCGTTTTCCAACTACCATTTCCGTTTAATTTATATGATTTTGGCATTGAATTATTATAAAATTATGACTTAATCATATAGTATGGAAATTATCATGTGCCAAAAGGAATTTTACAAAAAATAATTCAAATTTAACATCAAGAGTTAGAATTACAACCATTAGATATTTATAAAGTTCATTATATCGTATACATGAAAAGATTCAATCCATTGTAATACTGGTAATATATTAATGGATAGAGTGTTAGAGACTTGGGATTATGCGGGTCTGTTGATAAGATCATCAAATAAACCTTATAGCTGAATTACTTGTAGGCAAAGAATACGATAATGTTAATGTGGAAGATATTCATAGGCTACCAATCCACTATTTGACAATAGAACTCATAATTATAGATATATGTGAAGGTTTATGACCACCAATATTACCTCAAGAGTGTTGTCCGTCCAAAAAACCAACCATTGAAGAGCCTGCTATATTTACAAATAGTAAATTAGATGAATTTCTAATACTGACAACGACAATAACAGGAATAAAAAAGTTTGGAAAGTAATGACGGTTCATTGAATGATCTTGACGTTAACCCCGTTCGTTATCTGAAGAGCTTTTGCAAATTAACAGTAAATTAAATGAAATTTATTAATTAAGGGAAAGGTGTTGAAAGAGTTAGTGAGGTTGATGAATTGGGTTAATTGTTAATGGACAATAATCAATTTTAAAGAAGCAAAAAATTATTAGATTATGATTCAAAACTAAACATTGATCAAGGATAATATAATTATTATTTATGTATTCTATTTATTTGTATCTTTTTCTAGACAGATTACAATATGAATCGTTGAATGGACGATTGGTACCTAAATTGATTGATTTAAGAGTTCTATATATGCGATCCGTCGTTTGAAATTTTGTCAAGAGTACACAAAGATACTCTTGATACTTCCTTCCATCGACTAAAATAAGAAAACTTATTCTATATTTGCAAAAACAGTTACCTCTTTTGATTTTTGGACTGTTGGTCTTAAACACCCTTTATTGTATTTTTCATAAAGTCTTCATCAAACCCGTTTTTTTTTAATCGTTCTTAAACAACTCATATATTGGCTCATCACTAAAAATCTCTCAATTCATTCATTAGTCCATTTTATCCTCATATCGGCCTACCCAAACGTTTTTTTCACCAATGAAAGGAGTTCTTTTTACAACTCTTCCATAATAGCCTTCCGAATGTAAAGTACGTTGTACAGCTCTAGTGCTCACTTCTATTGATTTGGCAATGTCGAATTCTTACAATCTTTACAATATCTCTTTTATCTAAATAGCAATAAATAATGAATTATTGGTAATACTATAGAATTTGGGACTTCTAAAACCTCAGTTGTCTCTCTTTGTTGTATTTTACGCCTTCTTCCATAATCCATAAATATCACCACGTTCAAAATCAGTAGGCTTTTTCCTTTGGTCATTTTTAATATTCAATAAACTTTTATTATCTTAATTTCCCAAATTAACATTCAAAATATCTGTGTTACATAATTTTATATTTTAAAAGGATATTTTAGAATAGAGACGTTTTCACAATTTAGATCTGAAAATATTTACAATTTATTTCAATTAATTCAACTCAATTCATTTTTTGTTTAACTCGTATTTACACATAATCAATAATTTTTCAATGCGTCGAAATAAAACTTTTAGGACAACTGTTTGGGATCCAGTTCTCATTGTTTCTCAGGTAAATAATAATGTTGCTATTGGTTTTTTTTAAAAAAATAAAAAGACCTCGAATTAATTAATTAAATTTTTTGGCACTTTATTAGATTATTGCGTTACAAACATTATATTATACTTCTATTTCTACGATTGCATTGTTTACGTTATTAATATCAGGGAATGATATAACGTTAGATCATCTATTTGACTATAGAGAGTTTAGAACTGATACAGTACTAGGTTGGACTTTAGGCTTTGCATGGCTTTCAAATTCAATTGTTGGGTAGGTCAAATATATATTTTATTTATCTATCATTTTCATTTTTATCATTTCTATTAATAACAAAAATTTATTATTAATATGATATGTTAATATTAATATTATAGAATCTATTTACTGGTTAAAGTAATTCAAAGAGCAAAACTTGTCCTTGATTTTTGTTTAACTCTTCATTTTTTTCATTTGTTGATAACAAGTTTTTATTCTGGTCATCTGCCAACAACTTTTATCTGGTGGATAATCAATCTAATTACTTGTTGTATTATGATATTTGGTGGTGAACTATATTGTATGAAAAAAGAAATGGAACCGATAATTCTATTCAATGAAGATATCTTAGATGATAACGACAGCAATAATGTCAACATTAACAACAATAATAACAACAATAACAATAATTCTATAATAAACAAAAAATTAAGTTTAGATTTTAATAATAACAATAATAGTAACAATAGATATTATGAAATAATACCTATGGAAGAGATTGAAATAAATTGATTTTCATTTTAGAAGAAAATATTCATTTTATATTTAGAAATAAATTATAATGACATTATTTAAATATTTTGGTATACTACTAAATAACACTACTACCAACAAGGCCTAAAGCCTATCGGAACTTTTTTAAAAAGTACTTAAAACATATTATGTGTAAACTCTGCTACAACCAACACCAACGCCAACACCACCATCACCACAACAAAATATTTTATAATCATTTTTTTATATATTATAATTGTAATTGAAATTTTACATATATAAAGTAATAATAAGTATATTTGTATAGATTGTATGTATTGTTTCATTATAATCATTTATGTTAATTATAATTACTAAAATTTATTATTAGAAGCAAAGAAAAAACCAATAAATGATTTAATCATCTATATTGACACAATATTAATGTGTGCGAGAAGTGTTGATCATTCGATTAATCAATGTTGCTGGGAGCTTTGTAGTAAAAATATATATATCTGATAATATTATTGTGTAAATATTAATTAATTATATAATTATAATTATAATTATAATTATAAAATAATAATTACCTGTTAACTGTATACCAAAGCATTAAATTAATCACAATATTGACAATGATAATTATTGGAAACTTTGTTACCACTCCGAGTATAATAAATACCAACAAAAGAGCTATAAATATAATATTAATAAATATAACAAGATTGTTATTAATTCCAGGTGTATACATTGTTGTAATAACATCAGTAACCATCGAAGGAGATGATGTTTGTAATATTTGTGGTTGTTCAGACTCCTTTTTTTTTTCTAATTCTAATTTTGTTTCTGATTCATTTTCTGATTCGTATTCGTATTCTGATTCAAATTCATATACATATTCGTCTTCCGATCCATATTCACCTTCTGAATCTAATAATATACACAATATTGGTTCAAATACTGATTCTGATAATTTTCTTTTGTGGGCTGCATAAATAACAAAGTTAAGGTATTATTAATCAATAGTTATATATAATAACAAAAAGAAAATATATAATATTTACTGCGTGTTTTCTCATTTGATTGTTCTTCGATTTTGGTTCTTTTTGATGGTAAATCTGTTTCGCTTGTTTCAAATCGCTTAACTCCTCGATTTCTCACACCTTGTATTTCTTCATAACCATCGTCATAATCATCATTGTTATTATTACCATCGTCAATGTAATCTTCTTCTACTTCTACTTCTACTTCTACCTCTTCTTCTTCTACTGCTACTTCTTCTACTACTACTTCATCATCCTCTTCATCACCTTCCTCTTCATCATTATTGTCATCCTCATCATCATCTTCATCTTCATCATCTCCATCTTCATAATCATCATCTCCATCTTCATAATCATCATAGTCATCTTCTTCATCATCTTCTTCTCCTTCTCCTTCTCCTTCTTCTCCTTCTTCTTCTTCTCCTTCTTCTTCATAATTATTACTATAGTTATATTCAATATTTTCATCAACTATTTTAATAGCTGTTTGTAACGTAATATCATTAGTATCGACATCCTTGTTATTGATCGAAGCATCTGTAATATTATCGCCATCTTCTTCATTAGAAGTAAGTGCTATGTTATCTTCTTCACTTTTATTTAAAGTAAGTGCTATATTATCTTCTTCACTTTTATTTAAAGTAAGTGCTATATTATCTTCTTCACTTTTATTTAAAGTATCTTTAAAATCATTGCTTTCATCATCAGGAGAAATATTATAATCGTTTGAAGAAACAGGACTTATGAGATTATCATTTTCTTCGTTGAAAGTGCCTATTGCATTACTATCATCGTCTTTATTTTTGACAATATTATTTTCATCAATAGAATAATCTCCATCGTTATTTATCGAAGAAGCTGTAACGATAACGATATCACTATCTTCATTAGAATTATATGCTACACTATCGTCGTCTTCTTTATTTGAAATATCTTTTACATAATTATTATTATCGTCAGAAGAACCTATCAAAGGAACCGCAACATTATCATTACCTTCATTGGATGTAGGTGCTACATCATCATCTTTATTTGAAATGTCTTTTATATTATTATTGTCATCGTTAGAAGAATCTTTATCACCATCTTCATTAGAATTAAGTGCTACGTTACCATCGTCATCATTATTCGAAGTATCTTTATCTTCGTTATTGTCATCATCGTGAGAGACTTTATCATTAGATGAATTTATAATATTATTATTACTATCATTAGAAGCATTTATAATGTTATTATAGTCGTCGTTAGAAGGATCTTTATCATTACTATTATTATCATTAAGAGGGCTATTATTATCATTACTAAAAGCATCTATAATATTATTATTATTCTCAAGATTTGGAGCATCTATAATATCACTAGTGTCATAATTTGAAGAATCTTTATCTTCATTGTTGTCTTCGTTAGAAGAATTTTTATCATTGTCATTGTTAGAAGGATCTTTTTCTTCATTATTATTGACATCGTTAGAATGACCTTTTTCTTCAGTATTATTAACATCGTTAGAAGGACCTTTATCTTCATTGTTATCGTCATTAAAAGAATCATTATCATTGTCATCGTTAGAAGGATTTTCATCTTCATTGTTATTGTCATTGTTAGAAGGACTTTTGTCTTCAATATTATTGTCATCATTATAAGGATCTTTTTTAATGATGTTGTCTTCAATATTTTCATGAATGGTGATTATATCGATTGGAGTGGGTTTATTTAATTCAAAATTTTGAGCTGATTGCTCATGTTTATTATTGTTGTCATTATTATTTTCTAAATTTTCAATAGTAGCGTTGTTTTTTTCATTACTTTCTTCTTTATCTTCTATATTTTCATCCTTTTCTATTTCATCCAAAGTTGCTACCAACTGACTAGAAGAATCAATGAGCTTGTTGTTAGATAAATGTTCTTTTTCAATGTTTGATTCACTATCTTCAATAACTGATGTATCATCGTCATCATTATCATTCTTTAATGGTAAATGTTCTTGTTCATTTTGTTGTTGTTCATTAAGTTGTTTGTTGATTTGCTTCATTTGATCGTGTGGTTTGTTTTGTTCGTGTTTTTCGTGTTGAATTTTATTTTGTTCGTGTTTCTCAATGTCTAGTTGCACTTTACAGTCACTATCATTGATACTATTTTTATTATTGTAATTGGATTTTTCCATGTTGATAATTTTTTTTTTCAGAAAAGAGAAAATGAGTGAAAAATAATGACAATAAATACCTCTTTTATTGTGTACTTATATGTATTATGATCTATAAAAATGTCGCGTAAAAATTTTTTTTTTGAGAAAAATTTATTTTTAATTGGGTAGTTCCTCAAATGGAATTGTATGACACATTATATTAATATGGGGGCATACTGTAATATGATGTCACACAAAATTACAGGGGTCAAAATTTATTAAAATTCGGGTGGCGTGTATGAATTCGACTTAATTCACCAACCAAATTTGGAGATCATCTGCAAACAACCAACTCGAATTCATACAATATGCACCATTCTCCAAATCCCGTATGTTCATTTGAAATATTCTAAAATTAAAGAATCACCGGAGTTCCTTAGGACGAAAAATCAATTCTAAATCAACTCTTATTATCGAATTTATAATAAATTCATAAATTCACTTAAGCCTCAAAAATATTAAATAGTGGAAATTCTCACACTAAATATAATTTGAGTCAGGTTTTGCTGTGCTATATATATATCTCGTGAAGTTTTTTTTTTGATTTATTTTATTTAAATACAACTTATTTATTATAAATATTTTTATTTAAATTATTTTCAAAGATTTATTAAAATAATTTAATGGATTATCATCTAGTTTTCTCTTGTTGCAAAATTCAATACCATCAACATTATTATTATTCTGTGATAAAACTGATTCATCTTTCAAATTGAAAATTTTGCATAAATCTTGGTAAGTTTTTGATTGAGTCAATGATTTATAAACCGGCTCTTTAGATTTTTCAGCATACATTTGTAAGATCGTGTATTTTGTATTTGGAAAATGATTTCTTATCATCATAGCCTTCACAATAATAAAAATAACGATAAATATTATGATTTTTTAAAGTAAAATATAATCAATAATTAATTGATTTGGTAACCGAACCTTTTTAATATACATAGTTGCAACTTCATTTAATGGTAATAATCCATCTTTACAAAATATTGACACGTTACTTTGAGCTGCGCGTGCAATCATTATAGAACTGACACCTAATAAAATCAATTATTATCATTAATAATAATAATGATAATGATAATACATTAAGATATTAAAAATTGTGTTTCTTACTTGATAATTCTTTCAATTTGATAATATCTGATTGTTGAAAAATATCTCCATTTGCAATTATTGGGATGGATTTAACGTTCTCCACTATATCTTTAAATATTTCCCAATGTCCAGGTTGTCTTGGTCGTTCATTACGAGTTCTGTTCAACACATTAATTAATTATTTAATATATATATACACTTCTTGTAAAATTTTTTATTAAATACTCACCTACAATGAACGGCGATTGCTTTAACACCTGTAGATTCTATCATCTTACACAATTCTATTGTTTTTTCTTTCGTGTCTAAAATCCTGAAAGATAAATATAGTACAATTAATGAATTGCACCCCTCTATCTTTATAAATAATGTGATTAATTAACTATTTACTTATTTATACCTAATTTTACATGTAACCGGAAGACCACAGTTATCTACTAAATTTTTCAATATCTATGTTAAATAAAAATATCAATTACTACTTAAAAAATCTTTTTTAAATAAATATATGATCATAAAAAACTTACAGCCTTTAATTTTTCAGGATTTGATAGCAAAGCTGCGCCCATACCACCTTGTATTGAAAATTTTTTAGGACATCCACAATTAACATCTATTCCTGATACATCTTCTTTCCTAATAAATTTTAATTGATTAATTAATTATCACAAAAATAAAAATAAAAACAAAAAACCAATTTACACTTTTAATGCAGCTTTTAACGCGAGATCTGGATCTGAAGTTCCAATTTGAAATATTAATTTTGATTTCTCAATTGGAAGTGTTTGAAAATTCATCGTATTCTGTTTATCTATATATTCAATAACTCCTGTTTCTTCTATTTATATATATAGAGTTTAACCTGAAATATGTGAGTCATATATATATATATAATAGTTTGTAATGAATAATTATTACTATTATTATATTATTAAAGAAAAATTTTTTTTTTGTTTATTTTTTTTTATTACCATTAATATGTCTTTCAGAAGATATTATTCGCCTGTCTACTGTTTCGGGTGAATACACTAGATCTGTTTTATGATCATAATTGTTTATTATTATATGAAATATATGAAAACAATCAATTGCAGAATAAATTTTTTATTACCTGCTCCAAATTCTAATGCTAAAAGACGCAATGGGAGAGTACCAATTCTAACCTGCAACACATTTTAATGATTTAAAAGAATTTTCTTTTGTTATTATATATAAAAAGTAGTAAAGATTACCATTGGAGCAAGAATTAGTTTATTTCTATAATTTAACTCGGTCATTGGAGCACGTTTAAACAATTTCTTTATTAAAAGAAACATTTTGACCCCCATAAATACCAAAGTTTATATTTACAATAAGATCGACATTCAATAAATAATGATTCGCAAAATTTGGTTTAGCACCCCCCGCATTGATGATAAAGAATTTAATAATTAAAATCCAAAGAAAACCTTTTAACAATTTTAATCAAATTCTGCCAGTTAGGAATATGAAAGCTATTCAAATTAAACAAACTGGAGGTTTAGAAGTTTTAGAACATGTTGATTTGCCAATTCCACAATTGAAAAATCCTGAAGATATCTTAGTTAAGAATAAATATATAGGAGTAAACTATATTGATACTTACCATAGGTATATATTAAATATATTATGAGTATTAATGAATTTTATTAATTATTATTAATTATTATTAGAACTGGTCTTTATAAGACCACATTACCAGCTATACTTGGTAGAGAAGGTTCTGGAGTTGTTGAATCGGTTGGAAATAGTGTTAAAGATATTAAACCTGGGGATAGAGTTGTTTATGTTGGATCATCAAGTTATTCAGAATATTCAATTGTCAATGATAAATTTACTATGAAAATGCCTGATGAGATTGATTTCAAAGTTGGATGTGCAAGTATTATTCAGGTAAATTTAGTGACAAAAAAAATGTCTATTTGATTGTTGTTTAAATTTTTTAAATAATAATAATAATAGCATCATTTTTTTATAGGGACTAACAGCATGGACTTTAGTGTGTGAATCCTATCAAGTCAAAAAGGGTGATTGGGTTCTTGTACATGCAGCAGCAGGTGGTACAGGATCATTGATTGTACAATTTTGTAAAGGTTCAGGAGCAACAGTCATTGGAACAGTTTCAACAGAGGAAAAAGGACAGGTTGTAAAATCATTGGGAGTGGATCATGTGATTAACTACAAGATTCAAAATGTTGTTGAAGAAGTTAATAAATTGACCAATGGAGTTGGAGTAGATGTAGTTTATGATGGAGTTGGTAAAGATACTTTTGATGACTCTCTTGCATGTTGTAAAAGACTTGCTAGTTTCATAACATTTGGTAATGCCAGTGGTAAAGTTCCTCCATTTGATATATTGAGATTGGCAGAAAAAAATATAAGATTGATGAGACCAACTTTATTCAATTATCTTGTTACAAAAGAAGAATTTCAAAAATATACTAAAGAAGTTTTTGAATTTATTATTAGTGGAAAAGTACATATAAACATTTGGAATGTATACAAATTATCTGATGCTAAGAAAGCACATGAAGATTTAGAAAGTAGAAAATCTACTGGAAAATTACTTTTAGAACCTTAATCATGATTATCATTTGTATTATTTGTTTTTCTAATTGAATTATATTTTGTAATGAAATCACTATAATCTTTATCAATGTTTAACCAACTGTTATTAATAAAATTTCTGTATAATTTTTCCATAAATATCAAAGTTGAGGACATCAATGATTGATTCTCAGTACTTTCTAATATTTCTAAAGATAAAAATAATTTTTGAAATATTGTTGTCAATAAATTAAATAATGTTTGTAAATTTTTACGTTTACGTGAAGAAAAAGTAGTTGACAACTTTGTTATTTCTAAGGTTGAAAATAACTAAATTAAAAAAAATAAATAGTTAATATAAAAAAAAATTTTAATTAGAAAGTTTTTAAGAAAATTTTTTTACCTTTTCAATTGTTATTATTGACTTTTTAATTACTACCATTCTAAAATTAATTATTCTATAATCATTTTTTGTTAAGTTTAATTTATTAAAATAAAAATCTTTATTTTGAAATGATTTTAAATGATCTTTGCAAAATTTAATTAATTCATAATCTGATTTCATATTATTATTATTATTAAAAATATTTAATAATAACTTTTGTTTAAATAAATTTGATTTTTTATAATCAATATTTTCTTCTTCTCCTTCACCTTCCCCTTCATTTTCTTTCCTCTTCCCTTCTTCCTCGTAATAGTAATTATTATTACTCAATTGGAAATTGTTATTACTATTATTGATTATTTCATTTGCAACCTTCCAGCATTTTCTTACAAGAATTATTAATTTAATTGTTTGTTTGTAATATAATGAAATAAGATGAAATCTAGATTTATAATTATTGATCCAATTATCATAATCTCTAATTAACAAATTAAATTTATCATCTAATTGTGATAATAAGTTGTATTTGTTAAATAATACTATTAATAAACTTAGGTAGTAATTATAAAATGATTTAGATAAATTATTATTATTATCATCATTTAAGTTTAATAATGACAATAAATTATTTGATTCGCCATGTGAAATGTGATCTCTTAATCTAGGACCATCTGAATAAATAAACAAATCAAGTAACAAATCCTAAATCATGTAAATAAATAAAATTAGATTAAATTAGATTAAATTAAATTAGACTGGAAATAGATGATATGTATCTACCATAATTCCACCTTCAATTTCATTGTAAAATTCATTTTTAATATCAAGTTCGTTACTATTTTCAATGTTGATATAGTTATGATCAATAAATTTGTTTAATATAATATTTAATGTTAAATAATATTCGCCAATTTCAACAGTTGATATAAAATATTTTTTAATATTTCTATTAATAGATACAAAAATTCTTCTCAAACAATGTTCAAATAATGGTAAAGTATTAATAAAAAATAACAATAATAAATTATTACTATCATTATTGCCGTCATCACCATCTGTTTCTTTATCTTTTTCAATTAAATAATCAAATGATTTTAACCAAATTAGTTGAGTTTTTGGAATTATAAAATAATTATTGTATAGCAAATATTTTAATACTGAGATAATTGTTAGGTTTGTATTATTTGGTGGAATTGCTAATTATTAAAGTTATTAATTAATTAAATAATAATATATTTTTTTAACGATTATTTATATATAATTAAATAAAACCTACCATTTTCATACATAATAAATTCATATAGTTCATCATAGTTCATCATATCAAAATTCATCATCACATCATTATTATTATTGTGATGATAATAATAATTCTTATAATTAATAAATTTTCTATTAATTAATACTGAATTATTTTTACTAGTTATTATTTTATTAGATAATATAATTATGATAAATATTATTAATACTGAATAATATTTTGATAATGTATTTTCTTCTGCTGATAAGCTGATAAACCCATGCCAAATAATATTTCTAAGATTCATTGAATTAGGCGGTCCAATCAAGCATTTCAATATTAATAAAATATTATCTCCTTTACAGCCTTTGATTATTGATTCTAATTCTGCAGAATTTAATAAATCCTTTACCAATAAATAGTTTTTTTTGTTGTCACACATTGTATGAATTAAATCTCTTAAAATTCTTTCTAAAGTTGTAATAATTAATAATAATGATGTATAGTATTCTTTATTTATATATAGTTTGACACATAGTTCAATCACCTAAAATATTAATACATGAGCATTAAATTAAATTAAATATGTAGTTAACATTTATTCATACCATACTTACATAACCGTAACCACACCACTCTAGTTCTTTATTAAATAATTCATTAAATTTTTTAAAATTTTTAATTTTATAATCAAAATGGTCACTAATCTTGATTGATAATTTTTTGATTTTTTTCGATAATAATAAAAAATCTTTATCAACTAAATAATCTTCTTTTTCTCCTTTTTCATTGTTATTCATACATAAATCTTCATCAATTAATGTCAATAAAGTTTCATTTTTTTCAGCTTCATCTTTATTATAATCCTCATCTTTGAAAAATAACAATTCTTTAACTTTATCACTTAAACAACTTTCTTGTTCATTTAATATTTTATTTACTTGATCTCTATCAAACAATAAATTACTACTATTTTTAAAAGATTTCGCCAATAGAAAATTATTTATTAAAATAATGTTGTTATTACACATTTGTATATATTATTGAGGTAAGTTTTCTAGCAAGCATTGATAAAAAATCTGATCATTGGCTATTTATTGTATCACAAAAATCAAGTGAAATTAAACAACACAAACATTTATCAAAATTGTTAGACCTTCACGTTGTTTTTCACAAAAAATCATATATTTAAATCAGATGACTAAAAGAATTATCTGTTGTTGAGCACACAGAGGTAATTGGTTCTTGGAAATGTGATGTAAGCAAGACAGAAATAAGCAAAAGACTTGGGATACTATTGAGAACAATATATAATATTATAGAAAAAAGTAATAAAGAAGAGCTTGAAAGGAGAGTTAGAAAACATGAGAATATTCCTAGAAATAAAGATGATCTTTTTGGTGCCCTGGAAGAAGGATGGTACCAAATTGACATAGAGACATTGGCAAATTTAGTTGATAGTATGACTAGGAGAATAGATGCTGTAAAAAAATCTAAAGCATCCAACTAATTATTAATTATACTAAAATTGATAATCCAAAAATTTCGCATCTTTAATTTTTTTTATTCCTCAATAAAATATTTGACCACTCTTTACATATATATATTAATATATATATTTCAAAACACGATGCACATTTTTTATTATGCTGTTAAGATGTGTTAAATATTTTACATTTAATTTAAAATATCAATATAGTTGACTCAGTCTAAAGACCTCCTAAGTTTTGCATAAATTTTAAAAGTATAGAAGTCACTTTCTGTCCTATCTTTTAAAAAA